TAAATTAACCAGACCATGACTAGTCTAGCTCAATCTTCGTGCCAAGAAAATTCGTATATATACATATATGTCTGTGTCTGATAACTGTGCTCATCATCTAGTTAATATCTGAATAAAATGGATTGAACTACTACACTGTATGATCCATTTTCAAAACATTTTGTTAAACGGTCGCTTTATGAGATACTGACTATTTAGTAGGTTCGAACACAAAACTCAAACCACCCGATGATTAAATTACATTAGCTTCTATAACAGCAAAATGCGAACTGATATGTTGTATTTGATTATTTCATTTACTCGAGTTTAATTATAACATTAAAGTCTTGTCATGCGCAGTTTCACATTTAGGTTGGGTCTACCTCATACATATTTATGAACCAACATTTGATTTATGTGAATAGTGTTTATGTCTTCAAGTACAAAGTAAAATTACATTTCTACGTGGGTATGGAATATTCCATGCTGCTTAGGAATTATTTATTATTTAATACTTGATTAATAATCTTATACACAAGTTTTATATTTTCATAGTAGTATTATTCAAAATTCCAGGTGTATCGGTAGCTTCTTTATTTGTTACAATGGGAACAAGCAGTAACATGAATATAAAAAACAAGGTCCACGTTTTCCTTAGTTTAACTTGTTGAATTTTTTTACTTTTACATTACATCGTCACATAGTTTCTCTTTGAAGGGAACTTAGCTTTTTTTAAATCACATCTTTATTTGGCTGACTCCTTTACTCTAACTTCACTGCTTTTGTACAACTAAAATATTTCAATCAGATAAGAAGACAGAGAGTTAATCGTACTTTATAAAAACGATGGTTTGTGTCCCGTGCTGCTGTTGGAATTATTTCCCCCATCGTCGCTCGCCCTCAGCATGGTGATCATTATTATGCACTACTGCTCGATAGTGCAATTTCCATTGTAACAGGATTCTGGGAAGGACAGGGAGGTCAATATTAGACCACACATCTTGAAAAGCTTTCCATACACTCTCCACTGTACGTGAACATTGGCTTTCTAGACCACGTCTCAGGATAATAAAGGCACAGAAGTCCGAGAGCGCTGTGTCAGTGACTTGACAGGTACGTGATCGAATGGAATTGCTATGATTCCTGTTTCTTTTGCCATCTTTCTCCTGAAAACAGCCGGTGATTATGAGATGCGACTGGAAGTTTGTGAACTTTTGGCTTTGAAATTTTCGTCAAATTTAATGTGTTTTTATAATAATTATTAAAGGTACTACAGTGTCTTTACAGTATTAAAGGTATCGATGGAAATAGTCTTTCAGACGAGGTGCTAATTACAGGTAAATAATTTTCAAAGTCGTTGGAGCTAGGCTTCATCAACCTGAATTGTTTGCTACGCTGATGAACGTGCGTCTTTTTGTATACCTTTAATACCTGAATGGCTCACTACTTTGACGAACATGCGTCATTTTATATATAGTGCCTGAATTGCTTGCTACGCTGAGGAACATGCATTATTTTGCTTACGTTTAAATCATATATAGTCCAGCAAAAGACAACACTCAAATGAAATAATTAATTAAGCTCGAAAAAAATTTAAATCTCTCTCATAGGCAATAGACCAATTCTGTTATAAGTGCCTCACTGAATCTATTAATATTTAAGCTTGACCGATATGATTGCATACTGTTCTATATCGATGTTAATGTCTACATCCATAGAGTAGCTATTGAGTAAATGTCTGAGTAGAAACAGAGAAGGTAGCATAAGATCGGACAAACATGTAGCTGAGTTGTTTTTCTGGTCTGTAGCTGATGTAGCTGAGTTGTTTTGTGCATTTATTCGTCAAAACACACATGCACACCTGTTTTTCATAAAAGGGTATGCTTTTGGTATAATCTTTTGCAAAGTAGATCAACGTTTTGCTTATACAATATCTCTGTACTTGCCTCATCACGTGCCAGAAGTTATAGGGCGTCAAATTGTGCGACCGTACAGAAATGGTATGAAGCAAACGGATATTGCCAGAATAGTATGGTACCTCCAGTGTTCTACATCCAGAATCCTGAAACGTCATCGGACTACAGGAAACGTTGTTCCAAGAAAGTCTACTGGTAGATGCCGAAAAAGTACTGCCGGAGATGACCGTGTTTTGATCAGGTTAACCCGTCAAGGTCGAAAGAAGTCTTGCAACACCTTATGACAGGAATGACAGGAACACAATCATTCTAGAGTATCCATAAAAACAGTGAATAGAAGACTGACCAAACAAGATTATTTTGTAAGAAGGGATATCTGAAAACCGATATTAGCCAGATTTCACCACCATCACCGTTTTACCTGGGAAAGACAACATGCCAACTTAAGTTAGGACACTGGTAACATGTCGTCCTTTCAAATGAGTCCTGTTTTCGGCTTATTAAAGCTGATGGTGAGATTCGTATTCGTCGTTCGCCTGGAGAATAGATGAAGGAAGACTGTCTTTCCCACAGGAGGTGGTGTGGATCATGTTTGGGCAGCTATTCATCATGGTGGAAAAACTTCTCTTCATATCCTCTAGGGAAACTTTAATTTAATGGCGCCTTCTACAGGCATCACATGGAGACGATATATGTGCTATATTTTAGGGCAAGGTTTGTCAATAACTTTTTGTTCCAGAATGCCCACAGTACGTATATTGTGCAGGATTATATCGACCACGAGGACATTACAAATTCTCCAGATTGTAGTCCCATTGAGAACTGTTGGGCAGAAATGAGCCGGAAAGTTAGTAAAGACCCCAAATCAGCTACTGTAGCTGAGTTGCAGCGCCCTCTAGTGACAAGTTGAGATGAAATCACGTTGTATTACATCAATAATCTCATCGACAGCATGCCACGTCACCTTACTGAGGTCATTAAAGTACGAAGAGAACCAACCAAATACTGAATGTTGAATATGAACTGATATAAAGTTACAGACGCTATTTACAATAATTTGATGTTATATTTTGTCATTATGTATGTTTTGGAAAGGTTTTGTTGTGAAAGGTGAAATGCTGAATTACCCATTTTTCTACAGGTGTCGGATAAAATTATTTGCTGTTCTAATAAATCGTTCATGATGTCCATAGAACTTGTCTCATTATACAAATTACATATGTGGATGTTTAATACAACATGCATTTCTCAGTTTCACAGCGCTAAATGCATTGTATTCCATCTTAATAATAATGATATAATTTGTTACAAAGTATGCAAACATTTTGGCTAAGATTGTATATTACTAGAGACAGCCAATATATTAATATAATAACAACAATATGTATTTCAGGTGTTTCTGTAAAGTTTTTTTTTAACATTTGTCACACGATAAACAATACATAATTGAAAACATATTACTATAATAATTCTTAGAGTCACCACAGGGGTACTAACCATCTTTTATAATTCTAAGGCTTGTAGAAGATGAGGACTCTGACGCTGACAATATCTTATGTGTTGTTAGAATGCTTTGTTATACGTGAACTAAACCTTGTACCCAGACAGCAGCTGATGTCACTTCATGCGATTTACCATTAAACTTTTAACCTTGATAACATCTACTATTGTCCAAATGGTTCATTATAATAAATGCTTTGAACCTTTTACTGTCTGACATTATTTAATTTATTTTAGTGTGTGAAGTTTCTGTCCATAACAGTATCTGCTTATATCTAGATGGTTTATTATCTACGAGACTTCCAACTCTGACAACAGAGCTATTAATTCATTGCTCTGTTATATTACGTTTGTATCCCTGCCGACGTATGCTATTGTCTATATTGTCTGTTATCCTCGAATCGTTAAACCCTGATGGTATCTGATAAATAACTCATGGGTTTTTAGTTCTTAAACTTGAAACGTTTGCTACTTCCTAAATCTGTATTTCTACGAGAAGTTTCATCCTCGACAAGATCTTGTATTATTTCATACATTTTCTCATCTTGACAACATTCGCTGTTCTTCCAGATGGGTTACTTTATTTGAAGTTTTAACATTTGTGTCAGTTGAAGTTGTTTCACGAGCTACACTACACAAATATTAAATTCTGTAGTTTATGTTGTTATCTACTTGTTTATATCATTTTCATATTATCAACCTACCCATTCCTACTTTAATTTTGGGGTTATTTCAATATGAGGTCTTTAAACATTAAATATCTGTAGTTTCTATTGTCATTCAGCTGTTTGTATCATTAAGATTGTCAGCCTAAATTCCGGTTCTTATGTTGAAGTTTTTTCCCATATGAGGTCTTTAAACATGAAATATTTAGTAAAGTTCAACTGTTTTTCTTATTTGCTTAAAAACATCTGTTATTGTTTTAGGAAATGTTCACAATTTTATATTTTTAACATTAATAAATGCTGTTAATTTCTAAAATGTTCATCTTAAATACTTTTGGTATTCTATATAAACTGCTACTTCTCGAAGTTTTCATCTTGACAACATCTGTTTTTGTGTTATGTGTTGAAGAATATTAAATATCATATATTGGGTTAATTCGCTTGGAATTTTGTCATCTCATATGGATGTTTTCAAAAACATAATCTAATCAAATTAGTCTTAATTATTCAAGTTACTGATACGGAGTTTAGTTGAGATTATAAAAAAAAATTGCATATAAATTAACATTTCGTCTTATTTATGAATTTTGGACAAGAAATAAACACTTTAGATTTTCTATTAATTAAAATAGGAAAATAATCCTTTAAATGGTATTTTTGTTTAAGTATGTGATAACGTTTCTATTTCTAGTTTGTGCATCTGTTGCACAAATAGGAAAATAATCCTTTAAATGGTATTTTTGTTTAAGTATGTGATAACGTTTCTATTTCTAGTTTGTGCATCTGTTGCACAAATAGGAAAATAATCCTTTAAATGGTATTTTTGTTTAAGTATGTGATAACGTTTCTATTTCTAGTTTGTGCATCTGTTGCACAAATAGGAAAATAATCCTTTAAATGGTATTTTTGTTTAAGTATGTGATAACGTTTCTATTTCTAGTTTGTGCAGCAGCAGGCTGCCATTATGACTGCCGTAGCACAAGGGGGGTTCATCAACCCTATGAGTGCATTAGCAGCTACACAAGTTGGAACTGTACCGAACGGTCTCGCCAGTCCAGGAATCACTCCTACATCAGGTTCTTACAATATTTAGTTAGAAAACTAAAAGATAAATAGACTAAACATGTTCACCTAAATATTTAAATATTCTTTTACAATTTATATATTGGTACCTAATGCTTTGTTATACTTTCAATAAATAGAAATCAGAAAATATTGGTCACAAACTTTGAAACTTGATCTCTTTTTTTTTATAACAAACCTTCAAGAGTTTGTTCACAGACAGAAGAACAACTTAAAGTGTACTATATACTAAACTATTCTTTGAAATAGACGATATTTTTCTAGGTATATAAATCTTCTGTGTGATTTATTGTGTTTATATATTGTAACGTTTACCTACTTATATTCAGTTTCCATAATAACTGCGCATAATCTATAACAAAAAAAAAATCTTGCGTAAATTTTCATCATCGTATCCGTTGTATGTATATGTTAGTTTGTCATTTTGTGACTCAAATTTTTAAAGATATAAATTTTGATTAGTTCTGACATATAGATAAAACTTTCTTGACAGGGCGAAATCATAAGTTTAGTCAAAGTCAGGAAGGATAAGGATTTTAAATTTTGATTTTTCTTTACCTTTTTTATACACATTATTCAAGCTAATTACAACTTTTTGGCTACTAGAAGTCAATTTGGAGTGATTAGGACTATTTTAGAGCTATAAGCATAATTGATAAAAGTTAGACTGGCAAAAAGATTCGATATATAAAATGGTGTGTTACTTTAGATCACAATGCATTATTGAACGCATTTTCAGAGAATGAGTAGGGACCGTTATATATATATATATTTATTCGTACCATTCACAGATACAATTAATACAGTTACAGACATCAGTAGTCATACAGATAATTAATATGTACACGGGTGGGAAATAATAAGATTTATATCTACCCTGTCGTCACCTCCTGGTGTCTCCCTGAAGATGATAATAGCACTGTTATTACGCGGTTTTTGTTCATATAAGTTTAACACAATTCGTTTTTTATTTAGGAATCTTCGACGTGAAATCAAAACGAAATGTGAATAAGAAACTGAAAGTCACAACACACTGCTACATTTATACTACTGCTGGCTGTAGTCTTAAATATATTAGATTTGTTCCAAGCTATTATCGACGGTTTTTTTTTCGAGTCCTTTAAAAAAAAACTTTGTTAAAAACATTTGTTAATATAGTGTTAAACTTTCGTATTTTGCATTTATTGATAGCCTGAATGTAAAAACATTAGAGTTCAATGAGAGAGAAGCATGTTAATACATCACACTTCATTAGTGTGATGTAAAAACATTAGAGTTCAATGAAGTGTGATGTATTAACATGCTTCTCTCTCATTAGTGCGATATTCATTATTTAACGTAAAATAATTTCTTTGATACTTAATTCCAGCTTCTCTCTTGCAATCAACTAAACGAAATTGTCAGACTTTTCTCTAATGAAATCGAACTTTAGCAAGATTGGATTATTCACTCTTACAATTAATTTCGTCGAATTAACTTTCTTTCTGGCACGAAATTAGGTACAAATGACTTATTTTAGATATTATCTTTAAGCTGTAGCACGTTTTCTCCATATATATATAATCCTTAATGTTTATTGAATTTCAAATAATCAGTTATAGGTTTCAGTATTTTTCTCAGCTTGACTATCTACAAAGGGTTATCAAAAATTTTTCGAAAAATCATTTCGGTATCTAGACAAAATAGTCACTTTCCCAGATAAACTAGTAAGGAAATATTCAGATGTATTTCTATATATATATATCACTTACTTGATTTTATAATGATTTTTTGAGGTTTTTTTTCTACTGAAACCTTTTGAATTCCGGTAGCTTAGCAGTAAGTTTGACGACTTTGGCGATAAAAATCGAGTGTAGATTCCTGCGATGGCCAGAGCACATATAACTCATTTGTGGAGCTTTTTGTTTAATAACAAAACAAACTGAAACATTCTAGTTTGAAATACAAAAAGAACTATGTCGTAGTTCGTTCCAGACCAAAATGTTCATATATGTGATAAGTAATCTTTTAGAAATAAATAAAAACGAATTATAAAACGTAACATTATTATTCATAATAAATCTGTAGTCAGATATAATAACGTAAAATAACATTTTTATAGCAATTCATTATTTCATAGCGTATCATCTGATTAAACTATCATAAGTTCATACAAAACGTATCTAAATACAATCTACTTCACATGTTTTTACAAACTGATATAAATTGAACGTAAAAGCATATAGCGTTATCAAGATGCAAACTTAACCGACAAACTATTATCAAAGCTTAGAGTTAGTAAAAAAAAACGTATTATCGCGCTATTTTTAACTGCTTCTGTAAATGAGCAAGAAGTTCGCTCAGGGATAAAATAATGTTTTATCAGACAAGTGTATGTTGGTATGTTTGTTATACTTCTTCGCTTACAAAATTTGGTGAGAATTTATTTACTGCAAAGTTATTTTAGCTGAAAAATGTACTGCTTAAAAACAGTAGAAGAAAGTTTTATGTAATGTTATATGTTTGAAAAACTATGTATTAGAAGGTGAATGTTGAGTGCCCTTAACGTAACATAATTGGTTTAGGCTGTATAAAGTCAAATTGTAAAATTTACCGATATCCGTAACCCATACTTGAGATTGGTAAAACATTTGATTTAAATCTCTAAAAAACATTATTATTATTCAAATTACCTTATAAGTTATATTAAAAGTTACAGTACGTCATTAATTTTTACGACTGTAGCTTAATATCTTAATTTAGTATCATATTTTCTATCAACGTTTATTTTTAAACGATCCTCATTCGTTAAATACAATAATGTTCACACTGTTCTTCAATATATGACTATTAATTGTTCAATATGTAAATATATACGTTAAATACACACATGCGCGCGCATATGTATACATATAAAGCTATTTGAAGCTTGTTACAAGTGATAATAAAACGGCGTTAATGTTTTACATTTATGATCAACCATATTGTTCCTCAAAGTTTGTTTTTTTCTGGCATTTTTTTCAACGTTATACTACAAATTTACAACTTTCATGAGCTTATTCAACAATTTAGAAACCCGTGAAATTAATACATTTCTGTTTGGGTTTATATTAAAAACATATATACAAGAAAAAAAATCATTGCAAACAATGTATATTGCTTGTAGCTCAAGTTGTACAAAATTATATTGAAGCTTGAAACGTTGAGTATACGCAGTCGTTACACGTCCTTCCATGAGGATTTTATCTTTGTTTTTGTGCCTATACAGAATAGAAATTGCGCTATTTTGGTTGTATCGTTTACTGGGTATTTTTCATTCATGGATTGGGATACAGAAGGTCACTTTTTCATGAATTACTTATTGACGTGAATGGTGCAATTAAACACGCATTTGGCTCATACGACAAATCAATACGACAGGAAACCAAGCTACACGAGGTATACTAAGCTTTTAAGCTCTATACTGCTTTAATCAAAGTATGCAAGTGACAAAAGATGTTTACTAGAACTTTAATATTTGAACTTATTATGTACTTTTATCTCAACAAGTGTGCTATTTTTTCTTTCTAGCTTATAGCTAATAAAAAGTACTGATTGTCTTCTTTTAACAATTTCCACTTAAAGCTTCTCTATTTGCTTCTAATAATTTTGATTTTGAGAGATTAACTATAGGATATCTTTACTGCTAATTACCAGAAAAGGAATTAAAGTTAAATCACCAGTTTTTTTTCAAAAATACTGATCGACTTAAAAAGTTTAGGCACATTTTATAAACACATTCGACTTCGATAATTTATCGTTAATATTTGAACTTTTAATTTAACATAATACTTAAATTTATTTATTCATTGTTTTTTTGGACACTTTTTATTTTTTGGCTTTAATCATGAAAAAAAACAAATAAAAATGATCTATTTTTAAAATAGTTTCATGCAACCTACACTTCATTTGAAGCTGTAACCAGTTTAAGGGTTTCTAATACGAGTAGTTAAGTCACCCTGTAAAAGTTATTTCAATGCATAATTTCTGTAGAATTTAATGAAATATCTCTATTATACGCTAGAAAGTTATGCATCATCTTAGAAAAACTGACGAATTTGAAAAACTGAGACAAGGCAAGGTTAACTACAGTATATTTTACATAAAGAATATCAATGAAATTCTTGCCAGTGGAAGACGTTTTTTGTACTATGTTTTAGTACTTCATTGCATGAAGACATTGGAACTTCAGTTAGATTAACGGGCATAATTGATAGTTGTTTTATGCCGTTTTCGTATTTTTCTCTCAATGTCTTGTGTGTGTATATATATATATGTGTGTGTGTGTAACATTGCTGCGATTACTCAATAGTTTGCAGCGTGTTTTCGTTCATATATTCAGCTTGAATATATATGTATATATATTTACTTAAGGTATGTATATATATATATTGGTATTTACTTAACGTATGTATATATATATATATATATACTGAATATTCAACAGTTACCAACAAATGTACTCTATAGTATATTAACTTACCATGACAAATGGCAGTGCAAACATTACAGGTTTGATTGAGCATCAGAACCTTTGAAGAGAAAGCTTTAAAGAAATAATTTTACAATATGTAACTTCAGCTAAGAATGTAAGAACGTAATGCAACTTTTTGTAACACCTAATACATTTTGAACAGCAAACATACTTACACTGAATTCTTACTACGTTCAAGCAGAATGTTCAGATACTGGGATATAAGTATAAATATTGATACAAATAGAAATGTTCTTTAGTCTTGGACAAAAGTCTGAATACATGTTGATTCAGAAGAATGTGAAGATTATATGAGAAAGGCTTCATGTTCAAATGAGCGACAAAAGAGATTTTCTTTACTTAACTAATTAACATATGTGTGTGTGTGAGTAATAGTAAAATTCCTCCTATGAAACACGTGTAATAGTTAAAAAACAAGAAGGAAAAATTATTCGTGTATACTTTATAACTAAGTATTAACTGTATGGGATACAGAATCTATCATGGTGTATTAAATATGAATAGATCCTAGCTTTACAATCATGTGGTATTAATATATAAAACTATTCTTTTTCTTTAAAAACTATAAAATATAAATTATGTTAATAAATGTATGAACACACACACACACACTACTAGACCTACACATTTAGTACTTGAGTTCGGAATTAGATGCTTTTATTTTTGGTTTGGGTCTGTAGAATGTGTCCACTAGGTTTTAGTTAGTATTCCATAAAACTACTGTCTAATGCTCATAGCAAAAATCTGTGTTTTACTGTTGGAGGATTTATTTAAATATAATGTGGTTTTATTCATAAAAAGGAGCACAGCCTATCAACGGCACCATCCCTAATATACCTTCTCCAACTCTGCCTAATTCATCCATACATCAAGCTAACGGACAGACAGGTGAAATATATGGAAACGGCATGCTTCATTATCCCCGTAAGTGTATAAATGGTGGAATTTAACTTTTAATTGATATATATGTTCATGTTTTAAATTGTATACAGGTGTTCAACAACTTTATTGTTATGAGAAGTCTCTATGAAAGAAATTGTACATTGATTTTCTAAAGATGCGTTTATTTGAGCAATTTTGTTTATTTCTTCATTCTTCAAGCTTTATAAGATAATTTGTATTTCTAATTATCAACAGATTATTCGATTAAAGTCAGGTTCTCATTTAATGCCTCTGTTGTAGGGAAGAGTATATATTTGTAAATAACATAGATGTTACTCAACGTAATAAAAACCTCACAATGTGTCCTTAGTACAACATCTACTAAATATACTTACAAAAGTACTAGTTATCCGTAATTAACAATGAGACTGTATATACATGTTATAAGTATATTTCTGCTTCATTCTGAATGATATCTCTCAGGAGAAACTAATGTTTCTACAACCTCCCAAAAAAGATATAACTGTAAACCTAATTTTATCTTAAGTCTAGTTTGTAATTGTTTCATTAAGAGTCCCCTTACGTATATATATTAAATTCGTATTTCTTGCAGTAAATAAAGATGTTTTGTTTTCGTGTTTATTTTTTTGTATTATTAGCTGATGTTCAGTGATAAAGAAATACAAAAAAGCTGCATTATTTGTGATTGTTCTTCTGAGTATCCATTAAGTATTATTAACTTTAGATATTTGTAGAAAACCGTGTGGATAAGAGTACATCTCACCTTTGAACTGATAAGGTCATTGACCTATAATACTATAAGCTAGTGTGACATGAGAAAACTGGAACTCAGAAATGTATGAAAATCGAAACATTTTCTAAACAGACTTCCTAGTTATTATTTATAGTAGATATTTAATAATGAATATGTTTTTAGTACACGTTATTTTCGTAGGAAAATGTTTTTTTATTTACAACGGGATTCATATCATTTGAACATGTTTTGAATGCATCGAGTTTTTCTTTGTATAACCAATACTGAGCTTAGCCTGTGTTCAAACTATGAATATTTTACAACCTTATTATGAATTAAGATTATAACTTATTTTTGTTTCTGTTTTGTTTTGTGGCTGAGTAAAAGGGTAGATACGATTTACACAAAGAATATACTTAGTAAACGATAATTACTCGCCTTAGAATAAACTGAATTAACATAGTAGACATAAACTTTGTTCTCAGGCTGAAACATAAAAGTTTTAGTTCTTATCTCACTTTCAGCACAAGCGATACCTAACGGGGAAACTCTTCAACCTACTGCTTATCCCAGTTTACAAGCCTATCCAGGAATTGGTAAGAAGTATAGAAACTGAAGCTATATGACATCTTCACCTTTAGAAATCTAATGCAGTAAATTATTTTCAGTATTAAGCCTTATCAAGAGCGTTTTCTTATCCTTTTTTTTCCTTATTGTCAATATACTTGCCGTATTATTCCAAAACTGTTTATAATTTTATCCATGAATTGGTGAGCATAATTGCAGCTAAGAGAACTTCATCTTTAAAATCTTGTTTGGAAAATTATTTTAGTAGTGTTTATTTGCGCGGAAGATATTTTACACTTTGCATAATTTTTTACTGTGAATATACACTGCTCAAAACAATTAATGATAATCACGGTTTGTTGTTGTCGTTTTTGTACCTCAGCTATGAGAATACGCAACTATTGTTATTAAATAATGTCCATAGCACCCCTGAGTTAATTCATAAACAAACCAACTGTTAAGTGACCAGTCATTCAACGTGGTATGCACATTTCAGTGGTTTGTAAAAATAAAGAAAATACGGTGTGTTCTCAGTTAACAGTGTAAAGAACAGCAGTGTGCGTAAGGAGATGCAAATTGATAGTGAAACATGTCAGGACCTAACGAAGGCGTTAATATATTTCATTATGCTGGAGAGAAATAGGTTGGATATAAGGTGGTCAAAACAAGAAGCCGTTGCAGAGTGGTTTATAGTCTATGAAGTGTGATTAACAGGGTGTGGACTCCTCTCAGACCAGTAAGACGGTTGGCCGGAGAACTAGATAAGGTAGTAATACAGTTGGCCGAAGATGTGAACAAGATAGACTATTGTTGTCAATCCCACAAAGTGCAATACAACTGGAGGCCTTAGCTTCCTAACCCCCCCCCCCAAAAAAAAAGACACTTCAGAGAAGCAACTGTACGACAAGTCAGTACACAAACGGTCAAACATGTGAACTGCTTAAACGACAGTTAACGAATGTCCTATTCACTGACTAATAACGCTTCAGACTTCAGCTACATAACAAACGTGTACGCATTTGAAAAGTGGCTAGGATCAAATTCAACAAAATGTTCACAGGTAGAAAAAAAAAAGATGCACATACCTGTGATAGTTTGGGCAGGGTTCTGTAATGGAGTCCACACTGACATTTTAAGTGCTTTGACACCCATCATAAAGGTCATACAACCATTAGTTTTTCCGTATCTAGCTGTAGTTGATTTATCTTTTTTGTGGACGATAACACAGTCTCCCACCTTGTTTAACTGTTCACCAACATCCTGGAAGAAGAGGGTATCAATCAAATGAACAGATTGATCAACATGCTTAACTAATTTGATTCCGATTGAACGTGTATACCATACTCTGGAAAAAAGCCTGGCAGCAAATGATACACCTACAAACAGTGTTAATGAAATGGAAGTATCCATATTGGACGAATAGACCATATCGCCTGCAGAAGTTCATTGACTTGCCACATCGACGTGTGACTCGCATTAGTGTCCGAGGTAATCATACGCCTAATTAACATTCGTTTTCTAATCATTTATTGGACTGCATAGTTTGTAACACGAAACGAGCATTTGCACACATAGATTCCAAGAGCAAATATTTGCATATCAGTTCATTAGACTAAATCAGATGTCACTTGTTCTGTATAAAAATTAATTAAAATACAGAAACTTCGATATCCCTCTAATTGTTTTGAGCAGTATATTTACTTTATTATTCAAACAATACAGATGTTTTAACTATTCCTCATTTGTGCTGATTTTACATATCTGTTTTCGTTCATGAAATTAAATGGACACAGACATTTTTTTAATGTAAATTATTTTTTCTTACGAGCTTTGGAAGATTATTTTAGATTCTCCTACGTTCCGTTTTTTAGTTGTAATGGGAGTGTGAACCGTATTTTAATTTTTATGATACTTTTTTACATACATAAGTAATGTCTGCATTTTCCAATGTGTAGAATGTTTCTTTCGTCTTATTTCACGTTACTTGTTTTTCTTAGCAAACTCAGAAATTATAGATTACAAATATAGAAGCAACTGAATAACATGCACAAATGCATTTAATTCATGTTTTTGCTAAATTAAATATCCAGTGAACTGCCGCTAATGCTATTTTATTCAAATACATATAATCATCGTACTTTCTGCATGACGAAATTGTAAGTAACGTTCAATAACTTATATTTAAAGTTAAATTATATTAATAATATTAACATATTGATTTCATTCATCATATCTCACTTTGGGCCCGACATGACCAGGTTGTTAGGGTGCTCGACTCGCAATCTGAGGGTCGCGAGTTCGAATCCCCGTCCCACCAAATATCCTCGCCCTTTCAGCCTTGTGGGCGTTATAATGTGACGGTCAATCCCACTATTCGTTGGTAAAAGAGTAGCCCAAGAGTTGGCGGTGGGTGGTGGTGACTAGCTGCCTTTCATTTAGTCTTACACTGCTAAATTAGGGACGGCCAGCGCAGATAGCCCTCGTGTAGCTTTGCGCGAAATTCAAAATAAACAAACAAACAATATCTCACTTTCACTTTGAAACGTGTTACGTCAGATCAATCCCCAATCACCATATAGACAGTTAAATTTGATAATATATTATAATATTTATTTATTGTTGCTTTCATTAACAATATTAATTATACTATTTAGTATATCGAATGTCATTACTTTTTATTTACTTTTTTGTATATCATTATTATTTTGTTATGAAGATATATTTTGTATTTTTAGTGTAATATATGTATTTAGGACTAATATAAGTCTCCTAAGCTGGTCGAACCTCGTGAGATAGTTTTGGGATTAAAGTCGAAAATATCGTTAACAGCGATAGTACCCAACTGATTTAACAATACATTATAATCTTAATAAGTAGGAATATAATAACGAACGTTATATAATTTGCTCTACTGATTTGCCAGGTTGATTTTTAGTTTCATTCTAAGCAGAAGATTTGCTTTGATCGAAATATAATATTAATTAAAAACTCATTTTCAGTTTCCGTTAATGTAGTGTTTTAAAAGTACTTTCAAAATCTATTGGTTTGTTATGAGACTATCATCAAAAACAAGTCATACCTGAATAATCACTGTAACACAAAACTCCTCCCGAGTATTATGCTACAAAATATCTCTAATGTGAATTTTTCTCATATCCAAAAATTAGAAAACACACTGTTACAATCACACTGATAACAATTTAGAATCTCCCAAGAAAGATGAAAAAAATAGGCAGAATTTTCCTATGTAATAATCTAGGCGAGACGAAAGGTTTCTACAGACTCCTCTTATTTCATGTTATCTCTGTTCTAAGTATAAAAATATGTGAATGTTTACAATATTAGTATTATAGAGAGGTTGCAGCACCAAATACTTGTCATACGTTATAACATTTTTTTGCGCTATTTGTGCCATTAATCGTCCCCAAAAATGTGATAGATTTTTTTACATATATATATATATTTATATCTTTTATCTGTTATATGTCATAAATGAATATTCATCATCGACTTTTTTACTGTTCTTTTTTCACATCCTCACAACTAAACATTTTATTAGCAGCTGCATTTCTAGTTAGGGAATTATTTTTTCAAGCAGCTCGTGAACTGTATCACAAAGATGAGATGTTGTTTGATGAAATATTTATACAGTTTCATTATCCAAATTAAACTGATTCGTTTATGTTGAATTTTTCTTTTAACTTTAGTTTCCTGTTTTGCTTTATTTTTACGCTGCTACGTATCAGCTTCTATTTTATAACATAACCTTAAATACCAGTCAGTACTTTGAGTGATTGGGTACGCCATTGCTGGATACTTCATTATCATTTTATTAGTCTATAACATTTGACACAAGTACAATTACGTAAACCACTGACTGACAAAAGTCTGCGTGTGTTTACATCTGCTTATAGCTGGCGAACCGCTGGAACTACTGTTGCCAAACGTAGCATGAGTACCCCCCATGTCACCCTTCAAAGGGTTCTTATGTCTTCCCCCTGCGTTTAACAGGTACATCAGCTAGTATTCCATATTTGGTTAAGAAAACTCGAAACTTTATAATCTTAATTAATAGAAATATACATTTTGCAGCGCGTGTATTATATACATTTCCCTTCCTTCCGTTCAAGTATTTACTGAACATACATTTTTCTCTGACTTGTCATTATCTTGTCAAATATCAAGCTAACATTCTTTCCTACTTCATTTACGAACTGCATAAGTATAGCTTCTAATCAGACTAATGTCTCACATTACCGTACTGCAGAATAGAATTCCTTTAATATCTCGCCCTCCCATCTTATTATTCACATAATTTAAGTTTTTCGTTTCTGTTTTTTATTTTTGTGTCAGAACTTCTATCTCATTTTGATAAAGTTTGTTTATGATAATAGCTCTCAAATCTTGAACTAATAATTGTATCACTTTTGTTTTCGGAAACATTCATGAGTAAATAAAATGCGTGTAATATATATATTTATCACTGAAAATATCATTATAGATCAGTAAATAAACATACGCATAAACATCATTGAGAATAATATCACGCTTTATTACCGCAGAATTATACAACAAATAACCACGAACACGCATTAAAATTAAAAATAATTAGATTAACATTATCCAAACTAAACAGCTGTAATTGATTTTACACCTCAGAATATAGAAGTGTTTTATAAACAATTGAAATAGGTGTAAAATAGAATAAGTATTTGTGATATTTTCGTTGCAGAGTAGAAAGCGAGGTTTAATATCACAGGATTAAACACCAAAAGTTGGTGAAACAGCGTGGAGCCAATAGGTCTAATATTCATGATAAAACTCATACTATAAAGTGGGTGATTTTTTTACGTCCCTCTTAACTGGTTCATTACAGATTTCGAATCAGAGGTGTGTGCATTTCAGATCAGGTTTTGTCCATCACAAACCCATGAGACTTTTTTAAAAAGCAGAACTCGTCATCATACCACTTAGCATTTTAGATAGACTTTCACCATTCCAGATGACAAAATCAATTTGTTGATTAATTTAGAATTGACACATTTAATTCACAATTGGATATTTTAAATTTTTTAGCCGCATTTCCTACAGCGTATGGTCAGTTTCCTCAAGCTCTGACCCAGCAGCCATCAATTATCCCTCAGTCACAAAGGGAAGGTAAGTATGGAAAATAAAATTTCTAAAATTACTAAGCAAATTAAAATCTACTTCTTGCTCTTATAAAGTGTAATCTATTTTTAGAAAAGGTATAGCGATTAATGCCAAAGAAGTTGTGCATTTTAAAGTATTTTCGAGCCATTCTTACGTTTTAAGACATACTGAAAATACAAACACAAAGAAGATCACTAACTATTCATACCATAAACCTCAAGCTCTAGTTACACACCTGCATACTTGATGTCGAGCTCTTATCTAATATTTTGATTATAGAGGTTATTATACTACTTAGTTTATAGCTTTATAGTATTATTAACATTTATTTCACAATATTCATTGTTTTCCAAAACTTTTCTTTTAAAACACTATTCTCTTGCACTTAAATGTTCATTTGCAATCGTTATTTGTTTTCTAATTTCTAAAGAACATTGAGAAAATTCTAGTATTTTATTTATTTCATTTTCAGTTCGATCTTATTTTAACATTTATGACTACTGGCCTATTTACTGTAATTTATTTGAGATCCTATTGATCCTAAAGAATGCAACAGATGACTTCAAATAACTTAACAAGAATTTTTACTGGAAATAAGCGCCATCTGTACGTAAGAAAAACTAATACCCCAAATACTGCAAAATTAAAATATTAAATACATGTTTCAAGAATTTGTAAATTACTATAAAAATTTACACTTAATATTACTTATTATATCATTTTCTGAGCAGTGGGTCAGAAAACCGGTTAATTAATTGAATAACACACATTTAAACTATTTTATATTTTTAAAATACATATAAAACTTACTGTACTATCTATACTATTATTCTGCTTGTTTGTATGTAAGACCATTACGCTTTCTGACCTAGAACCTGCTGCATAAGCATACGTAGTTAGAATGTTTCACCAAGAAAAACCGCGCATGCGCTTTATTCACTCAACGACAAACAGTCTGCCTGCGGCAGAGAACTGCAAAGCTCAGTGATCAAGTCGCTACAATTGCTGTATGAAACAAGAAGTAACAACAAAAGGGGAATGTAAATATACTTTATTAACCATTTTGTACAACAGAATATTAAAACTTATCAAAGTTTTTAAAAAGATTTGGCGCTAGGTAATAACATTATAAGATTATTTATCGATAGTATTAAGTACAATAAAGCTTAGTCCTAACTAAACTAAAGTAAAAAAAAATGTATACACAGGTTACAGTGTTAATTTATCTCTTTATCGAACTTAGGCCTAGCATAAGTTAAAGTTTTTTAAAGTACGGCTATATACAAGTGGATTTACACATTTCGTTGTCTGCGATTACAATTCGTTTTTATTGTGCTAGAAATGTTATATTTAAACAAGTACTATTACGATAAAGATACTAATTTGGCCAGAAATGTTTTGCGGGTCTCTGCTAGTAAATAGAGAAACGTTCATATGCCAACTTCAAAAGAAATAAAATGCCCAAAATTGCACTATATTGGACAACTTGGCACTTCAGATTCCTAAGGCCTTTAAGACAACGATTGTGTATAAAACTTGAGTTTGTAAAAAAAACATGAGTTAATTTGGAAAAATAAATTTCCTGATGACATTTGCGAATTTTTAGAAAATATCAAATTTCTTTTCATAACATTCTAGTTTTACGAAACAATAAAATCAGAAACAATAATAAAGATTCTGTTCATTAAGTTAATTTTTCTAAAACGGGAATATAAAAGTTTATCTTTATAAAATTTGTAAAGTTAAAGGCATTTTTGTTTCGGATGTTACTTTTGTTTATGATCAATTGCAAATTCGTAGGCGTGTATAATCTATCCTGTTTGGCATTTCCATTATTTAGAACGTTAAGTTGTCAATCATTTGATAATTTATATTATATTTTTCTTCCATGCAACTTGTGGCACAGTGGTATGTCTATGGATTTACAACACTAGAAACCGGGTTTCGATACCCGTGGTGAGCAGAGCACAGATAGGCCATTGTGCAGCTTTGTGCATAACTTCAAACAAACAAAAATCCATAAAACTTATTGCCAGTTTTCTTTAAATCACTGTTGTTTTAAATCTTATATTATTTAATAACTTTTTGGATTTCATCTTTGTTCACTTCTCAGGCCCAGAAGGCTGCAATCTGTTCATCTACCACTTACCACAGGAATTCGGCGATGCTGAACTCATGCAGATGTTCTTGCCTTTTGGAAATGTCATCAGTGCTAAAGTTTTCATTGATCGTGCTACTAATCAAAGCAAGTGCTTTGGTGAGTTTATTTCAAGTACAAAATTTATCGTTGATTTATTGTTGAACAGCCTATCCCTATTTTCGATCAAATGTATTTTAATACATTCGAAACTACTTTACAGATTCAGCTTTAAGTACAACTGCAAAAAACAGTCATAATACTTATATGTGCACGTACAAAAGCTTAGATAATGTATAGATATACGTATAATTTTTGTTTCAAAATCTCTCCTGTTTTGGCCATTATGACTGATACTACATTTTTTATTTTACTTTGTTTATTAGAATAACGAACAGTGAATAACTTCTTCGAAATATTATTATTATTATTAAGTGTTCAGTGGCTGCCGTAAAAGTTTCATTTCCAAGTTGTATTAGTTATTTCTTCGTTTAATATACCAAAGTTTAACATAAAAATCCATAGCTAGGAAAAAAAAAGTTACCATATGTTTTATTCTTAGGGTTTGTGAGCTTTGATAACCCAACAAGCGCCCAGACAGCTATCCAGGCCATGAATGGGTTCCAAATTGGTATGAAGCGCCTCAAGGTTCAGCTAAAGCGCCCAAAAGACACCAACAGACCATATTAATACTGAGGCCAATTCTATATTTTATGAAAATTCAAGGTAAGAACTCGGAGGTCTCGTTTGTCAGTATTCTACAAAATATATAAATATTGTTTGATAAAAATAATTTTTTAACTTTGCAGTTTCGATTTTCAATTCTAAACACATTTTGATAAAAGGTTCTTGTTTCAAAACTTCTAGACTTAAGAAACATGTAATAACCCTGATTAACTAATATTCAATAATTGGCAGCTTTGAAGCGTGTAAAATTAACAGCTTACGAGATTATAAGATTGCTGAAGGTATTTATAGTCGATATATATTACCGTTGCTGTAAGAAATGTCACATTCAAATTTATGATAAAGTATTTACTCGCCCGATGAAGAAGGGCTCACTCGATACCTAGAAGCGATTTATATAGAGTAGCTGTAATATAGAAATTATAAGAAACTTGGAAGATCTAGCGACCTTAAAGTATAATTTTCATCTTTAAAGAGGGGCCAGTTGTAGCCCATTTGTTAGGATGCCAGGATTTAAAATCTGATGATTTATAGTTTTTGACTAGTTCCCACAAGAAACATACTCCGTTTTTTGAGATCTTGGGTGCTATAATAGTGGCGGTAAAATCCTACTTTTCTGTCAAACAAGAGCAAAGCAGGAGTTGCTGATGGGTGCTACTAACTAACTGCCTTCCTTCTAATGTATCAGTTTAAAATTATGGACAGACATGCATAAATAGTCCTTGTATAGATGTGTACAAAAATTATTTGATAAACCTCTTTAAAGAAATTACCTCCTTAATTTTTCTTATTGTCCGGTATAACAGAAAATCTTTATTACTATATATGTAAATTAGAACAGTGAAGAGTTTTACACATGTACTTAAACATTTTGATGAAACATTTAATTGAGTCATTTCTAAAGCATTGTACCTCTACTTACCAAGAGTGTTTGTTTGTTTGTTTGTAATTAAGCAAAAAGCTACACAATGGGCTATTAGTGATCTACCCACCACAGGTATCGAAACCCGGATTCTAACGTTGTAAATCCGCAAAGATCCCGCTGTGCCACTGGGGGGCTATCAAGAATGAATCAATAAATTGTGTGATGTTTGATATAATTTGTTGAAATAAACATTATTCCTTGTTACAATCGTTCGTTTTCCTTATTCCAAAAATATTAATAATTGTGCTTCACATTTTGGAGCCGTGGGTGCGTTATAAGAAAAACGGTCAAACCTCATTATTCGTTCTGACAAAAGTTGCCCGACTTAGCTGCCTTTTCTGTAATTTATAAGCTCAAAGTTTAGGATAGCGTTTAGGTAGCTTTATGCGAATTCCTGAAAACAAACAATCCTTTTCACAAAAGAAAGAATATCAAACATGCTAAAATAAGTAATATGAAAAGACTTGGTTGATATTTTCAGAAAAAATAGACATGTTTAAGATCCACTTTTTTAAAATATCTGTTATAATAAAACAAAAAATATGAAACTATTTATTTTTAAACTTATCACACATTTGCATATATAATTAATCAGTAATACAAATGAAGTTTCTTTATTACATGAACGAATCAGTAGAAATGATTCAACGTAAAGAAACTCATTCTTAAATACATTATTTATTTTTGTTTTTCAAATGCAGATCATTGTTTTCAGTCAGGGTAATTTGGGCACGCTACGCTACAAGTGGTTATTTTGAAATATCCTTTTAACTTTAAACGATTGTGTTTGAGAACAGTAAATGCAGGTTAAGATATACAGAGGCCCAGCATGGCCAGGTGGATAAGGCGCTCGACTCACAATCTGAGGGTCGCGGGTTCGAATCCGCATCCCACCAAACATGATCGCCCTTTCAGCCGTGGGGCGTTATAATGTGACGGTCAACTCCCACTATTCGTTGGTAAAAGAGTAGACCCAAGAGTGGCGGTGGG